ACTATCAACATTCTTGGAATCAACCATCACATAATCAAGAAACCGTTCGACTACGAATTTCTTCGAGCTGGCATCCTTCCACTTATGTTTTCGGTCCATGAATTCCCATAAATCCTTAGCCGTTTTAAACTTTCCATTATATAATGAATCATGAATAGCATTCAAAATATAACCACGACAAAGAAAATCTGACCTTTCCACGACTCATGCATGAACAGTTGGTGCGTCAGAAGTTTCTTCAGGCACCGGAGGAGCTACACCGGTCAGGAAACCCGCCAAGTTTAGCGTCGTAAGGTAGAAGAGCATCTTTTGTTGCCACACCTTGAAAGTCGCTGTCATTCCATTGAACTTTTCCAGCTCCTCCACGTGGCTAGTTGGGACATTGGGCACAACAGGAACAGCAGCAGAACTTGCAACCTCGGGAACAATAGTAACATAGGGCAGATCAGCCGCGGGAGTAGCGCTAGTAACAATAGCACCACCATCATCAACCTTCTGAGCATCAGCCATCACGAATACACAATGAACAAAGAAAATATGTTTTAAGATTGTCGGGAAAAATACAAGAGTATTCGAAAAGGCTAAGGAAAATCAGAATAGGAAAGATATGAGGCTCTTGAAAACACGATCTCCTTAAAACAGATTTGCCCCCTCCTAAGGTGCTTGGGGATCTCGAGCAACTGTTTCCCAGGATACAACGGAAATACAAAGACTACTTAGCATAAAGCAACTCTACAAGCGAACTAGAACTTAGAACAAATTAATGAACACCGAAAATTGGAAGGAAAGAAAGGCTCAAAAGAATCTGAGAAGAGATGGGAGAAAAGGTGTGTTAAACTTTGAAAAATGAGTGCCTATTTATAGGCTGGAGAAACTTTTCAAATGACAGCAAACTTTGTAACGGTTTCAGCATTTTAATTATGCTAAATGCAGAAAAATCATGGACAAAACCTCCAAAATGTTTTTGACTAGCCCAACAGTCAAATGAATTCATTTTTGCCTTTTAGTGTATTATTAAATCTGCCAATTCTGATCATTCATGACAGCAAAACAATTGCAACGTTTCAGTTTTATTTTGACTGAAATGAATGAATATAATTCTCCATTTAAAATTTAGCTGGAAAAAATTAATTCGAACCGGAGCAAAACGTGGGTTGATCAGGCCCGCGAGAGTTTGGTTCGGCATTTATGTCTGCAGGTGAGTGGGAGAGATGTGGTATAGTATTGGCAAGTCAACTTGCAAGTCAATTTTGGGCTCTCACTCATAAAGTGAACTCCAACTCTTCCCAACACCAATGTGGGACAAAGTCCCTTAGCCTTAATTCTATTTTTCCAACTCTTGAGCAATTTAATTCTCATTCACTTACTACTCATTTCTAACAGGTCTCTCTCCTCGTTGTTATTCGTTGTTGGCTTATGAATTCCATTGTAATACTTTTTTTGATGAGTAGCAATTTGTGTTGTATGTTGTATGGAAGAACTCTTTAGATTGTTAAAAAATACCAATATTTCTTTAGAAGAGTAGCAATTTCTAAAATTGAACAGAATATAGAGAAAATTGAATAAATTTCAAAATTTAATACAAACCTTAATATTGATGTAGTTCTTGCGTTGCTTGATGTATTGGGGTTGGGTGCCCAACCTTGGTATATATAGACAAAAATTTCCCATCTTGTTTGTTTCCTATTGAGAAAGAGATTACTTATTTCCTATTTATTTTGCCGTGTGTTTTTTTTTTAAAACTTTTTTTATACGCCAAATCCTAAAGAGTTTAGTATTAGTTGTCGAATCCTAAATCTAGTATGTTTGGAGGGACAATTTCTCAAGCTTATTAATATGATTATTGATCTTTCAAATATCTACGTTCGTGCTTTGGTTATATTAATTCATCGTGCAAATTCTTGTCCCTCTAAAACAGAATAGTCCCCATCCATACCTTTTTTGATCATGCGATTTGTTAATTCCGTTATTTGTTTCTTGTGTGTTTTTTTTCGATAAAGAGCTGCCTTTATAATCTTAACCGTATTTTAAGAGGAGTCTAGCAACGATGTTCGTCCGTCAAAGTCTCTACCAATTTTGGCGTCAAGATCGTGCGAGTATAATAGACAGGATTCCAAATGAAGTTATGTGGGAGATTTTTATGAAACTGGATGCAATTAGCCTTTGTTGTTGCAGGTGCATCAAAAAAATATGGAATTCTAACCCATGCAATGACAAGATGACGTTATGTGAACGAAATCTTATGAAAGGAAATCCGAGATTTATGTTCGTTTGTCAGTCAAATAAAATGACGCGGACCTTAATTTAATTATATTTAATGTTGTTGCCTCACATCATCATGAACTGTCGGGGATTAGTAAAGCTACAAATGCATATATAGACAAGGATGCCGCCTTAAAGGTATTATCGATCACTTGCGATTTGGTTTGTTTACAATTTTTTAATGGGATTCGAATATTAAATTCCAAAAATGGGCAAGTTGTCGTGTTGCCCCCTGCATATCATTCACGTGGACCGCTTGATCCTGGTTGTTAGGAACTAACTTTCGGGTTTTCCTTTAATTGGTGTGAATACATTATAGTTTTAATGCGATTAACTCATGAACAAACTATTGAAGGGAGGATGTTGAGTTGGAGGTATGATGAGATGTTAAACTGTCGAGCCAATGTCTGGAAAGATACATGTGTTATCTGTCCGCGCATAGTTTGGGATGATATTCTTGTTAGAGGGCATGTTTTTTGGGTGACAGAGAAAGATCTTCACTTGGAAGTGGATGGTTATGCGCATGATGAGACTTCAATATTATTTCTGGACCTAAAGATGCATCGTGGAGTAGTGACGATTACTATTTGAGCAAAAGGGTTATTCTTTTGGAGTTGAATGGTGTATTGTGTGTGGGGAATCCTAGCCATGCTGTGATAGCAATCTCGTAGACGAAGTAAATTTCGTTAATGCAACTATCAACAAGAAAGAACGAAGATAATTTGTCTATCCCGTGAAACTCAAAAAAGTGCGGAAAATTCACTATAAGACGATCGTTTATCTAAGTGATTCTATCCCTTAACTCAAACCAAGTAAATAATACATTAAATATGAAAGATTCGAATTAAACAACAACCCACGCTAAGGATAGCAAGGACACCATTCAATATACTCGATCAGTCATCATTCAAGAGACTCAAGAAAGGTAGGAGCAAACAATGCTCAACTATGAAGGAATACTATTGATTAGTAATCTTCATAACCAACCAAAGATATGCAACACATACACCATCTCAAAATGCTTATGCCAAAGCACAACTCATCCAACAAAAGTAGGACAAACACCACAATGGAACTCATGAACACACTCATCATGAAATTCGAACACCAAGCCAAAAGAAAGGCTCATCAATCGAACTACTAGAAGTAGTATGAAAATAAGAAGTTTTGTTTTAAAACAATTCTATCAAGAAGCATACTTGAAAAAGAACGGTTTCTGCAAGATCAAAATGATCCAAGACAAGATAAAAACCCTCTTGGTTAAATAGTACTTGACAAGAAAAACGGACACTCCATTTAAAAAAAATTCCTCACAGGAAAAACTCTCAAAAGAGACAACAAAAATGACTACTCAAGGGTGCTTTGACATTTGTGCCAAGCCCCCTATTTATAGGCTTAGATTTTCGGCCAGCACCACTAAAAGAAGATCAATTAGGACTCTTGATAGCAATCTCGTAGACGAAGCAAATTTCGTTAATGCAACCATCAACAAGAAGGTACGAAGATAATTTTGTCTATCCCGTGAAACTCAAAAGAGTGCGGAAAATTCACAGTAAGACGACCGTTTATCTAAGTGATTCTATCTCTTAACTCAAACCAAGCAAAGAACACATTATCCATGAAAGATTCGAATTAAACAACAACCCACGTTAAGAATAGCAAGGACACCATTCAATATACTCGATCAGTCATTAATCAAGAGACTCAAGAAAAGGTAGGAGCAAACAATGCCCAACTCTGAAGGAATACTATTGATTAGTAATCTTCATAACCAACCAAGGATATGCAACACATACACTATCTCAAAATGCTTATGCCAAAGCACAACTCATCCAACAAAAGTAGGACAAACCCCACAATGGATCTCATGAACACACTCATCATGAAATTCGAACACCAAGCCAAAGGAAAGGCTCATCAATCGAACTACTAGAAGTAGTATGAAAATAAGAAGTTTAGTTTTAAAACAATTCTATCAAGAAGCATACTTGAAAAAGAATGGTTTCTGCAAGATCAAAAAGATCCAAGACAAGATGAAAACCCTCTTGGTTTAATCATACTTGACACGAAAAATGGACACTCCATTTAACAAAAATTCCTCACAAGAAAAACTCTCAAAGAGACAACAAAAATGACCACTCAAGGGTGCTTCTAAAATTCGGCCAAGCCTCCTATATATAGGCTTGAATTTTCGGCCAGCACCACTAAGAAGAAGACCAATTAGGACTCTCTAATCTTATCTCACAAGGAGTAAAAGTAGAAGAGTACTTGATCCCTTTGACTCTATCTAAAATCTAGGAAACCTTATCTAAATGACTTATCCTCAAGTAGGATAATATCTAGAAGGAATCTAAGACTCCTAATCAAAACACTCTAGCTTAATTCAGTCCACATGACTTATTTAACTAGATAAAAATTCGAAAATTGACTCCTAGACTTAGACTAACTCTAATCTCGAAATTCAGCTCCAAATTATTGAAGTAAAATGTCTTGAACGCCTTTCCAAAAGTGGAATATTGGTCTTGCGCCCCTTAAGTTGTAGAAACTTCCAATTTACTCCAACACTTGTAGAATTCTCTTTATTGACTCCAAAAGATTGGAAAAACACTTGAAACAATTAAGATAGTTTGCAACCTATCCAATTGTGTAGCAATGGACTCAATCTTGAACACTTTGATCAAATAGGCCGTCCACTCAAGAACCTAAATGACTCTTCTCACTAGCTTGATCAATGATCTTCATGGAGCACACAGAGTCAAACTCTCTTGATACTCTTCAGCACTTATTTCCATGAGGTCTTCATCTCCTTTGGTTTGAACCCCAAAGTTAATGACATTCCCATCACCTTGATCATAGCTCTCTTGAACCAACTCCCTATCACATAGGTTGTCAAGATCCATCCTTTCTTCCTTGATTGGCCTGCAAAGTAAACTTGGCATTCCAAAACTAGAATGAAGGACAAGCTCATTCCCCTCACTAGGAGAACCTCCATGGAAGGTTACATGATTCTCATCATCCCCTCCTTCTTTAAGAGGATTCGTCCTCGAATCATCAACCTCTATACCTGCACAAGGAACAAACGAGATATAAGGCTTAGTAAAATCCTCACCCTCACCACACTCTGATTTTCTCTCATTGCGTGCATTTTTTTCTTTTTCCACGCTATTTTCATGGTTTTCTCTTGCCTCAACTCTTACCTCATTGTGACCCTTTTTACTTTCTTGCGTCACTCGCTCGACTTTTTCTCTCCCTTGTGTATAGGTTACCTTACGTCTTTTCTCTCGCACAGATTTAGATTCTTCATAAGCCAAAGGCTTAAGAATGTATTTTCTGTCCTCTTTAGTAGAGACAAAGATATTCTTCGAGCAATGGTGCACAGCATCTACATCTGACTTCCAAGGCCTACCTAGCAAAATATCACAAAGAGACATAGGAATTACATCAAAGTAAATTTCATCCCTATACTCACCAATCTGAAAAGGTACCATGGCCTTTTTAGTAACATCCACAACCATCTCTTCACTCAACCATTGAAGCTTGTATGGTCTAGTATGCGGATCCATCTTAATTCCATTTGCTATGCAAAATTCCTCACTTACACAATCAGTACTCGACCCACCGTCGATTACCAAATCAACTTCATTGGACCACCCAACCGAACACTTAGTACGGAAGATACAAGTCCGTTGATCTCTATCTTCAGCGCCAAACACCAACCCCTGATCCTCAATTGGTCCATTCCAACCACAAGAAGTATCATGCTCTCTTTCCACTTCTAAGGCAGCATAGTATGCCTCATAGAGCCTTGATTGTCTCCTTATCTTTGGATGTTGTTTGAAACACTTGTCCAAGCCATAATGGAAACGGTCTGTCAACATGTAGTCGTTCTCATCCACTTCTGAACTCAGAAACAACCCTTCTAATTCCTCAAAGTAAGATTGAATGGATCTACCATTATGCTTACAATTGAGCAACTTCACTTTTGCTTCATCAAAGGTGTTAGTACCAGCATATCTTTCTCGCAAAGCACTTCTCAAATCATTCCAATCATCCAAATTACGATACCAATAATGCGAATAGATATTTGAAACTAGCTTCCACCAATTCAAAGCATTAGAACGAAAACAACCTATAGCTAAGGCTATTTTCTCACTCTCTTTCTCTATGTTAAGCAACACAAACAAATTCTCTATGCTCTTTTCCCAAGTATCATATTCTCTATGACAACCATAAAACAAAGGCAATGACACTTGCAACATTCCAGCATACGAGGGTACTTGTTTAACTTCAAAACGATCACATAAGACTCTTAAATTTTCAGCAATTTTCTCAAAACTTACCATAGCTTTATCTTGCTGATTTGAAAGCATTTGAGACAAGTCTCGGTTTGCCTCCTTAACCTCGGCCAAACCATCATGTATGATAGCAATCCATGACAAAACCAATCTTTAAGAAAAGACCAACTTTGCTAATTCGGAAAGTCAGAGAGTTGTAGGCAGCGGAATTTGGAAATTCGGATTTAAAGACTCTAGAACACACGAAAACAAAGAAAAGAAAAGACTTGTAGGAATTAATTAAAAATCCAAAATACAAAGAGATAATCTCTTAGAAAGATTCCAATGGATAGAATCTCCCTTGAGTTAAAACTCTATCATCATCTTCTTTGTAGAGTGATCTTAGCCATCCATTTTGATGTAGTCTTCATCCAACGGTTGAGTAGACATCAAAAGTTGACTCCTTATTATAGGAAAACTCGAAAATAAGATAAAAAGAATCATCCCAAATATTATCCTTTAAAGAGATAAAAGTCTTATCTTTCAAAGAGATAAAATTTGAATGATCTCACCCCTAAACTTTAGGGCGAAATTCGACCAACATGAGGACATGTGGCCGGCGGTCCCTTTGAGGATTGAGGGCCGAAATTCTTCTCTCCAAATGGGCCATGTCCATTTGGTGTCACTTGCAGCAAATTAATAGTCTTGGGCTTGTAATCTTCAAGCTTAATTTCCTCCTTAGCCCATGTAGTAACAATTAGACTATTAAGTGATTCATTCATCCTCTTGCGTCTAGCACGAGTCATTGGTCCAACAATGTTTAAAAGTGGATCACGGATGTAAGGATTATTCTTTAAAGCAGCATCTTTAGATCCTTCATTAGCATTCACGACCTCAACTTGCTCATCTTCTCCATTATTGGCAGCAACATGTCCTTCTCCATTAGTGTTAGCTAGATGGTCTCCATCATACTCCCCTTCTTTAAGAGAATTCGTCCTCGAATTCAAACCTTCATCAAAATCAAAAGGAGATAAGTCAGAAACATTGAATGTAGCACTAACACCATACTCACCTAGTAAAGCAAGTTTATAAGCGTTGTCGTTGACTCTTGACACTACTTGAAAAGGTCCATCTCCGCGAGGATGTAACTTCGATTTCCTAGAGTTTGGAAACCTCTCTTTTCTCATATGTACCCAAACCCAATCACCTGGTTCAAATACAACTTGTTTACGACCACGATTCGCCGACTTTACATATTGTTGAGTCCTACGCACAATATTGAGGCGAACTTTCTCATGCAGTCTCTTAATTGTCTCAGCTTTCTTAACTCCATCCAAACTAACTTGATCCTTCAAAGGCAAAGGTGATAAATCTAAAGGAGTTAACGGATTAAAACCATAGACAATTTCAAAAGGCGAAAACTGAGTAGAAGAGTGAACAGTTCTATTATGACTCGTGCTAGACGCAAGAGGATGAATGAATCACTTAATAGTCTAATTGTTACTACATGGGCTAAGGAGGAAATTAAGCTTGAAGATTACAAGCCCAAGACTATTAATTTGTTGCAAGTAACACCAAATGGACATGGCCCATTTGGAGAGAAGAATTTCGGCCCTCAATCCTCAAAGGGACCGCCGGCCACATGTCCTCATGTTGGTCGAATTTCTCCCTAAAGTTTAGGGGTGAGATCATTCAAATTTTATCTCTTTGAAAGATAAAACTTTTATCTCTTTAAAGGATAATATTTGGGATGATTCTTTTTATCTTATTTTCGAGTTTTCGTACAATAAGGAGTCAGCTTTTGATGTCTACTCAACCGTTGGATGAAGACTACATCAAAATGGATGGCTAAGATCACTCTACAAAGAAGATGCTGATAGAGTTTTAGCTCAAGGGAGATTCTATCCGTTGGAATCTTTCTAAGAGATTATCTCTTTGTATTTTGGAGTTTTAATTAATTCCTACAAGTCTTAAATGTTTTAAGACTAGTAAAAGTGTCTAGGTTCGTTATCTTATCACTTAAGATAACTAGAAGTCTTTAGAGTTTGATTTCATTTCAGATTCTTAGAGATAGGAATAGAGGTGAAGAGTTGTGTTCTTCCTCTACTTCTAGGAGAGAAATTTCGGCCACCCCTCTATATATAGGGACCGAAATCCTCTTGTCCAACACCTTTGGTCATTTTGAAATTTTCCTGAGTGAAATTGGTTAGGATTTTATTCCTTTCGTGGAGTTCTTGTGAGGACTTCTTTGTTTGATTGTTGCATATGTGTTGTGACAATTGTTAGATTTATCTATCTTGTTTAGTTCACTTGATAGTGGCGTCTATAGCATTGGATCTTTCGAATCTTGGTATTTGGGCTCATAGATCTCATATCTATTGGGTTTTCTTACACAATTTTCAAAAGGGTCTCTGCTTGGTTAGAATTAGCTCTCTTCATTTTTGATTTGGGTTTTTCTACCATTGAACTCGTGAATTGATCCACGTAAGGTCAAATATCTTTTCTTTTCTTTGTTTTCGTGTGTTCTAGAGTCTTTAAATCCGAATTTCCAAATTCCGCTGCCTACAACTCTCTGACTTTCCGAATTAGCAAAGTTGGTCTTTTCTTAAAGATTGGTTTTGTCACGGATTGCTATCATAATTTTGGTATTCAGAGCCTTCTTATGGTTTTACCATAGTTGGCATATTTAGAGCCATAATTTTGTATATCAAGAGTCATCTTTGGTTACCATAGTTGGTCTTAAAATTCGGATTTTTGTTCTTCTTGTTTTCTTCCTCTCTTCGAATTTTCCTCTCCCAAAAGAGGGTATTCGTAACATTTTGTTTTTGAATTGTTCACCACTTGGACAATTCCTTTTAGTTTCGTGCCTTTCGTTTTGTTATCATCCAATAGCAAACTTTGGTGATTGTGATTGATATATATCTCTCGTTCCAAGATCTCTATATCTTGAGGGTAATTGATGTTCATTCATTGATTGTTGGAGGAGCTTTTGTGTTGAAGGTGTTTGTTTGAATTTGGCCGTACACAAAAAAAAAAAAAAATTGTTGAGTCTAGGGTTTCGGCCGCCCCTATTTTACAAAAAAAAAAAAAAAGAAAAAGAAAGCCGTACAAAAAAAGAGAGAAAAAAAAGAGTCTTCTTTGATTGGCTACATAAAGGTTGCCTTGCATTAGGATCTTTCAAAAGAGTTGGAAGTGAAGTTGGAAAGAATCTTCTTGAAGAGGTATATTTAAATTCTATCTCTATCTAAGAAGGTTAGATAAAGTTGTGTTTGATTGGGAGTTTATCTTTGCTATTTAATTGCCTATATTCTCTCAAAAGATAAGATTCTCTTCAAATCTTATCCTAATCTTATCTTAATTGGATAAACCTTATCCTTATCCTATTTATTGGATAAAATCTTATCCTTATCTCATCTTGTAAAGATAAGATTCTCTTTAAGTCTTATCCTTATCTTATCTTGTAAAAGATAAAATTTTATCCTAATCTTATCTTAATTGGATAAACCTTATCCTTATCCTATCTTATTGGATAAAATCTTATCCTTATCTCATCTTGTAAAGATAAGATTCTCTTTAAAGCTTATCCTTATCTTATCTTGTAAAAGATAAGATTCTCATAAAATCTTATCCTTATCCTATAAGAGTTTGAGTTTGAGTTGGAGTCTGAGATATCATTTGAGTTTGCTTATACTTCTAAAGTGAGATCCTTATTTTTTTTTTCTCCAAACACTCGAACGAGATTCGTGTTCTCCCTCGTTCTTTTCTGGAATTTCCCTAAATTTACTCTACGTGCTAATTGACTTTGCCTGCTTTTGAGTGTTTTATTCGAGTGGATTGTTTAATTAATTGTTGTGGTGCATGTTGCTACTACTTGAACATTGAAGCCGATCCGGAACTTTACCAAAGGACTTGAGTGGTAAAAGGCTTGAGTGTTTTCTTTCTATTCCACTTTGATATTGGGGAAAAAGCCAAATAAATCCCAAAGAGAGCATACAAAAGGTGAGTTGTGTGTGATACTACCAAAAGGGGGGAAAAGTAAAAGATCATTGGTTAGGGGAAGTGAGGTAGGAACGTTTTCTACTAACATCCTATATATTCGTTTGTTCTTTGATCTTAAAGGATGTCATCTGAAGATGATAGTGAACAAAGAGACGACCGTTCTCAAGATGCTATGCGAGAAACTCTTGCTAGATTGTATAATGTTACTACTCAATTATGTAGTAGAATACAAGATCTAGAACTAGAGGTACGTAATGGTCGTGCTCAAGGTAATGAAGATAATGAAAATCGTAATAGAGCTCATCGTGTTGTCAATAGGAATGATCATTATGAACTTGGTAACTTCAAAGTTAAAATTCCTGAATTTAGTGGTACTAATGACCCTGAAGCCTATCTTACATGGGAAAAGAAGGTAGATCATGCTTTTTCATTGCAGGATTATGATGATTCTAAGAAGATTAGAATGGCCGTTTACCAATTCAATAACTATGCTTCAGAATGGTGGGACCAAGTTGTCAAGGATAGGAAGCTCTATGATGAGGATCCCGTATCCACATGGGATGAAATGAAAAGACTCATAAAAGGTTTGTTCCCTCTTATTATTATCGAGATTTGTGTAAACAAATTCAAAGTCTTTCACAGGGAACCAAGTCTGTTGATGAGTACTATCAAGAGTGTTGGCATATTGATGCGTGCAAATATTAAAGAGGAGCCTGAAGCTATGATGGCGAGGTTTCTAGGAGGACTTAACAAAAACATTGCCGATGTTGTGGAACTTTCACACTACCTAGATCCAACTGAGATGTTACACAAAGCTAGGATCGTGGAGAGACAATTGGCAAAGAAGAAGTCAGATTCACATAAGCCTTCTACACCATGGAAGAAAGATGATTCAAAGAAGTATGGTAATTCTTCAAAGTTTGAGAAGGGAAGTAGTTCTAATGCTTCTAATACTTCTAATATTCCTAAACCATCTTCTAATGTTAAGAATTATATTTCATTTAGTAACACTAACAAAGTCAGAACTAGAGATGCTACTTGTTTCAAATGTCAGGGATGAGGACCTATAG